AGGCCTTGTATTGCATTCATGAATCAATCAGGCAGGCTGTGAGGTCTGAATGTAGGAGGCTCTGGCAGGAGTGAGGATTTGGAATCCAATGTCTGATTTCCAGCTCCAAGGGGATCAATCCAGGCCTCTGTTCACGTGAACAAAGTGTGGATGGGCCGCAAAGCACCACTGGGTGGCTCTGTGAGCCAACTGTGCATAAGCAGGGGTCTAGCCAGGCAAGCAAAGGACCTGACTCAAATAGCTGGCACAGAAAACAAGTGTCTTTACACAGTTCTGCTCTGTGATCTCAGAAGACATTCAGGCCTAGCTCTTTGGTTAAACCCAAGTGTAAGGGTGTTATGGAAAAGGAGCAATAGGAGAACAAGAGTGTGCTTCTGGAAAAAAGACTCCACAAGGCCCAAATTAAAACAAAATCACTAGAGTGACAAGTGACCCTAAACTGAGGTGGAGAAGGAGTAGAACTTGAGGAATCCTCACAGATCAGAGCAAAAGTAAAAGTGCTGGAGATTATGGGGAAGAAGATATAAAGGAGAAAGATGGAGGGCTATGAGGAGTTTCTTTGTGTTTTCCATTTCTTCTTATTTTAGTTCTGGTAAAATAGACATAACATAAAATGTACCATCCTGACCATTTGTAAGTGTGAAGTTCTGTGGCATCAAGTACATTCACACTGATGTGCAGCCAGCACCACCATCCACCCCTAGAGCTCTTTGCATCTTCCCAAACTGAAGTTCTGGGCCCCTTAAACATCAACTCCCCTCTGCCATCTCTGGCACCCACCATATTGCTCTCTCTGCTTCTATGCAGTGGCTGCTTGAGGTAACTTCAGGTACCTCGTACACTAAAATTATATGGTATTTGTTCTTCATGAGTCGAACACCCTATTTCACAAGTATAATGATCTCAGGGTTCATCTGTCTTGTAGCATAAGTCAGAATTTTCATCCTTTCCAAGGCCGAATAATATTCCATTATAGACAGACACATTTTCCTTTTCCATTCACCAGTGGATGAACACTTGGGTTGTTTCCACCTTTGGCTATTGTGCATAATGATGCTGTGAACATGTGTGGACACGTATTTCTTGGAGACTCCCACTCTCAGTTCTGTTGGGTATATGCCCAGAAGTGGAATTGATGGATTATAAGAGAGTTCTATTTGTGGAGCAACCACGATACCATTTTCCACAACAGTTGCACCACTTCTGTTTCTACCAACAGTGCATAAGGGTTCCAAATTGTCCACGCTTTTGTCAACACTTGCTATTTCTTACTTCTGTTTGTTTGTTTTTTTGTTTGGTAGTAGCCATCCTAGTGAGTGTGAAGTGTGGTAGAGGTTTCTTTTCAAGCTACATAAATGTTACTGTATTGATTTTACCGTAATGATCTGATCGAGGGGGAATTGGAGGAGGCAGAGAGGAGCTGCTGGGTGATTGAATAGACAGAAGTGTCAGAGTCTAATCCTGGGTGGAGAGCATCCTGGCTAAGAACTCAGAGGCAGGAGGAGAGGCAGAGCAGATGGGCACATATGCAGGTGGGGGGATTGCTCTTCCGAATACTCAGTCTTCTCAGGGAAATAAAGGCCACTGTCCTAGAGGGAGCATTTGGGGAAGGTGCTGGAAAGTTAACGAGAGAGTAGAGGGTATCAATAGTTGCTAAGGCAAGTGGAAGTGTGAGGTCTGGGGCTGCAGGGGTATTTACTTTCAGGCAGCCCTGGGAAGCCCCTGAAGATGCTTGTGGTCACTAATTTGAGATGCCACCTGTCCTTCCCAGGCGCATTCAGCTGCTCGGGTGCAGGCAGTGAGGAGAAGAGAGTAGGATTAACCATGTGAATGCACAGAACTGAGAGAGGGACAAGGTCCTTGAGGGCATATTTAAGGCAGGGCTTCAGTTACAGGTCATGGAATTCAGGCTGGGGACCAGGACAAGCGGGCGACAGTGGTAAGGTGCAAGACTGAAGCACCCAGTGAGGGCAGGACTGTCAGAGTCAGGGCACAGAGGGCACCATGGGTGTCAGGAGAGGAATGGAAGTGGTTGGTGAGCATGTCCTGGCTGACCCGAGCTCCTAGGGTGACTCCTGTGATCAGGACAAAGTCCACGAGTCAGCCCCCGGCCCCAGCCCAGTCCCTGGCCCCAGGAGTGAGTGTGTGTGCAGGGATGGTGGGTCTGGAGCCCACCTGCCCCTGGTTGACATTGGTGTGCGGGCTGTCTGGGGTGCTCCACCTCCCCTTAAATCTCTGCAGAGAGCCTGCCAGTAGGCACGACTGCTACTGCCCGTCATTATTGACTCCTTTGCACCAAGTCTTGTCAGGGGAGGGGAACAAGAACTGGAAGCAAGGCCTTTGTGCCCGGCACAGCTCCTCATCTCCTCATGCGCTGGCCTCTAGCACAGAATGCCCGCTCCCACCTCCACCCGCCTGCTGAACTCTTGCATTTTCCCCGGACTCAGGGAAGGATACATGGTTCACCTCATGGATGCACAGGGACACTGGAAATGCCAGGCCCAGGTGCCCAACCCGCTCTGACCTTAGAAGGAAACAGATATCTCTCTGCAGCAAGTCCAGGACCTCTGGAGAGCTGGGGTTGCATTTACTAATGATCATCACAATGGGGAGCACTCTTTGTGCCCAGGTGGCCACCATCCACCTTGGCCCAAGTGGCTTTTGTCCACCACCATGTCCACCTGCCTCCTCCGACAATGGGCCACATGCTCACTCCTGCTGGAGCCAGCCACAGATATTGGGAATGTGTTTCTTCAATGGAGACTGAGAAGCTGACCACCCCTCTCAGCAGGAGAGCTTCTCTGGGTAATAAACCCTGGTGGGGAAACTGGCTGCTGGGGGATGGCTTGCTCTGGTAGGCGGTGGCTTCCAGATGCTGGTAAGGTGGTCAGGAGGAGTGGAGGGTGGGGGTTCCCTCTCCATGTCCTTGCTGCTGCCTTAGTGGAGGGGGACCTCTGACTGCTTGGATCTGTCCCCAGGTCCCAGAGGGGGTGCAGTGGGATAACATCTCTTTTTGACACCATGTGCTCTCTGCTAGCCCCTACTCCTTGGGACAGAAGCCTGGCTGGTGGTCTTGGAGTAGTGAAAGGAGAAGGAAGCACTCGCATGATTAAAAAAGAAACATTTTTTTATTGTGGTAAAGTACACATAACAGAAAATGTACCTTTTAAATCATTTTTATTATACAGTTCAGTGGTATTAAGTGCATTCATATTATTGCAACCATCACACCCTCCCTCTCCACAGTTCTGTTTACCTTGCAAAACTGAAACTCTTTACCCATTAAATAAAAACATTCCATTCTTCCCTCCCCCCAGCCCCTGGAAACCACCATTGTACTTTCTGTGTCTATGGATTTGACCAAACTCGTATGTTGAAACCTAATCCCCAACATGATGGTATTTGGAATGGGAGCCTTTGGGAGGTGATCAGGTCATGAGGGTGGAGCCCTTATGAATGGGATTCATGCCTTTATGAAAGAAACCCCAGAGAGCCCCCTGGTCCCTTCTGCCATGTGAGGACACAATGCACCAGGAAGTAGGCTCTCACCAGACACTGAATCTGCTGCCATCTTCATGTTGGGCTTACCAGCCTCCAGAACTGTGAGAAATAAATTTCTGTTGTTTATAAACTGCCCAGTCTGTGCTATTTTTGTTATAGCAGCCTACCGGAACGAAGACCTGTAGGCACCTTGTTTCAGTGAAGTCATACCATACTTGTCCCTTTGTGACTGGCTTACTTCTCTTAGCATAAGTCTTTAAGGTTCATCCCTATTGTGGCATGTAAGAATTCCCTCCCTTTTTAAGGCTGAATGGTATTCCATTGTATGGATATACCACCTATTGTTTATCCCTTCAACCACCAATGGACATTTGGGTTGTTTCTACCTTTTGGCTGTTGTGAATAGTGCTGCTGTGAAAATACGAGGACCCATATCTGTTTGGATCCCTGCCTTCAATTCTTAGGGGTGTATATACACAGAAGTAGAATTGCTGGATCCTATGGTAATTCTGTGTTTAATATTTTGAGGAACCACCATTCAGTTTTGCATAGAAGTTGCATGATGTTTTGGAAGTGGCATATATTCCACATACTTTTTAAGGTAATATTTTTGACCAAATGGTTGTCCTAACCATGGTGAAGAGCTGCCAGACCCTGGGAAGGTGGCCGGACAATGGCATTCTTTTTCTTTCTTTCTTCATGTCCCTGCCAGGCCTGTGCCTTTGATGTCAGCTTGGCTTCTATAAGGAACTGAGGAGAGGCCCTGGTGTGGCACTCTGGGGCCTGGCGTGCCCTTTCCTTAGTGCCCACTCACTCTTTTTTCCTAAAAGAAACATAATTTCTATGTGGGTCTCCCTCCCTCTCTATATAGCTGTCACAGTAAGTTGAATGTTTCTCGTTTTGCTTTGGGGGAAAGCAGCGGGATCTCAGGAGGATGCAGAAGAAATGGCTGTAGACCAGCTGCTCAGCAAGAAGGAAGGGTTATGAACTGCTAGGATTTTGGAGGTGTTGAGCCTCTCAGAGTTCTGGGCCCTATTTTACAGATAAAGGGGCAAATACTGCTGCAAGGAGGAGAACATGAAAGAAGACAGTTCCAAGGAAACAACATGCAAAGACATGCTTACCAGTCCCAGAGGAGGACAGCATCAGTAGTCCTGGGTTCCTGGCCTGGGGCTACTCGTGGCATTGTGTGGACACTGCGTGGGCACTGTTCATGTGGACAATTCACATTTTCCTCCATGCATCATGGATGATCCTATAGGTTTGTTTGCCTGTGTTGACTGAGGCAAACTGGGAAGTTTGTCTATTTAGTATTTATCTGCTGTGTGTTGAAAGAGAGGTGGGGGTACAAGATTAGGAAACCTTTAAGCAAGGCTTTAAGAGAGCTAGCTTGACATTCAAAATCGAACACTTAGATGCCTGGTAATATGAAAGTCTTGCCAGTTCTCATTACAACACACATTGCAACATGCCTCTCTGCTCGTAAATGTCTTTTCAAGGTCACGTCAGCCCGGCCTGATGCCTCTGTCACTTGACCTTCTGCCAATGCCCAGCTGTGAATCAGTGGAGCCAGCTGCCCTCTGCCTCTTGCTCACCTGCAGGTAAGGGCTGGCCCAGGAGCCAGGGGAGGTACAGGATCGGTTCAAGGACCAGTGTGTGGTCTTTACACTCCACTGCGCACAGGCCTGTGCCTGGCAGCCTCTGCTTTCTCAGAGAAGCCCATGCCACCCATCTGCACTCTCCTCCAACCTGTCCCTGCCTCACCCTTCATCCCAGTGCCTCTGTGCACCTCCTACCTTGTGTAGAAGAGGGTTCTTGCAGTTTTCTTCCAGACCCATAGGTGCCCTTGCCGGCTGCTCCTTCTGTTCTCAGGTCTCTGAAGCAAAGGTGCCGCCCTCTCACCCAGGGATGTTCCTTCATCCTGGATCTTGATGCCTCATCTCCTTTCTCTTAGATACTTTGTTTCTTTCTTGTATTGAACCCCTGGCTTTCCTGAGCCCTCAAGTTTCCTTCTTTGACCCCTTCCCACAGACTGTGAGCATGTACAAGTTCAAAACACCAGCAGCAGCAAAATGGGGGAAGAGAGCAAAAATGCTCTTGCTCTGCAGCCCGGCTGAGAGCAGTCTCAGCTTCGCAGGCAAGCTTCTGGCAAGAGAACCTGGCATATGCTGCTCCTCTCCCACTTCCTCTTTCGTCACTTGATGCAGCGCTTACCCCCCAAACTCCACGTGAACCAGGCGGCATCCAAGCCCCAATTACCAAGATGCCTGGGAGATTTCAATGGTCTCCTCACTTGCTCTCCTTCCAGCCTCTGAAGGCGTGGCCTTCCCCTTCTGCCCCATCAATCCTGTGGCTCCCAGGATGGTGGAAAGAACATGTGCTTTGCAGTAAATCGAAATCTTAGCTCTGCCACATATTGGGTGTGTGGTTTTGTCACTGAACGGCACTGAATGAGAGTCACGTTTCTCATCTTTGAAAAGGTGAGAGTAGCAACAATGGACAGTCTTTGGGATGACTGATCAGGCACAGAGAGAAAGCACTTGGCACACAGAAAGGTGTGTACCTCATGCATATCTTTGTTCTATAAACTGTAGGAACTAGGTGCCCCATGAGGCTCTGCTCCCTGTTAATTTGCCAGATGCCCTTTCTGAGTACCTCACACCCCTTGGTGTTCTCCTATGATGTACCTGTTTCCTGACCCCAGGGGGGCCAACCTGGCTGCCTACTGGATCACGGCCCTGGATGGTCCTGTACCCATGGTCAGGACTGAACTCCTTTCCTCCCTGACATCTCCTCTTCCCCATTCCCAGTCTCAGTCAGAAACACCACCTTTGGCTCTGGCTTCTCACCCTTCACACTGGGGTCCCTTCGCCCCCATTAAGGCACATCTTTGGAACTCACTCTCCTTTAATAGGCCTGGGATTACTCTCCTTTCCTTATTTATATTGTTACTTCCTTAGTTTAATTCTTCAAGAACTTGGCATTTGCATGAGGCATTTCCTCTCTCTGAACTGCCTTTCTCTTTTCCTCTACCTGTCAGATTCCCACCTGTCCCCTGCTCAGTGTCACTTCCTGGACTTGCTGGTCACCCCCTGTGCTGGGTGCCCCCCTTGTATCACCATCACAGGCCAGCTGTGAGAGTCCGTTCTCCGGCAGCTGGACCCAAGCTGCTCAGGCCGCCACCGCCTCTGCTCCCCGTGCATGTGGAGAATCCCCAAAGGCGCAAGGAGTGAGTTAAATGTTCAGAAAAATACACCTGTGAGTAGCGCATTTATCTCAAACAATATTCATATGATAAAAATTAAATTCAGGAAGATAAAGGCAGCCTCTTTGGATCCTGGCCTGTGACGTTAACAGGCATGACGACATGATGTCAAGCTGAGCTGGAGGCTCTGCTGATGAGTTTCTGGGGCCTCCAGTGATGCACTTGTGTGAACAGGCTGAGTGAATGACACTCACGTACTGGAGCCCGATTCTTCCTGCCAGGAGAGTCCCGTGCAGCCAGCGGCCCTGCAGGCGGGGGTGCACAGTGAATGGTGAAGCTCCCTGATGTGGCAGGGAAGCAGGTCCCTGGCCCCCGAGAGCCCACGAAAGGAACTCCAGGGCCCCTTGTCAAGGTTGTCAAGGCCATTTCTGTCTTGAGTCTCCTTCTGCTGTGTGTACCTCCCCTGGCCAAGCTCCCCACACCACCTGATTCTCTTCCAACCCCTGGCTGCTCTGGCCTCCATGCTCCTGAGACCTCTTTTCTCCAGCATGCTTTCAACCTGTGGGATTCTTTCTGCCAGCTGAATGGCTGATGCAGACGTTGGTTTTGAAACAGTCAGCACTGTGACTGCAGAGCTCTGACACACAGAGGGGCTGGGGGGATGCAGTACACATGGCTGATCCTGACCTGGGACTGACACTCCTGGGCCCCTTGGACTTGCCCTTTGCCCCCTCCTCTCACAGCTCCCCTTGGCCATTCAGCCACACTCTGGATTGTAGTCTTGGGGCCCTTGGCTCCTCTGTAGTGATTTCAATGGTCAAAAAGCACTGGCAGGAGGATTGTTATAAATAGATGGTGCATTAAATACCCTGTGGATAGTCCCATCGAATGACCTCATTCCTTAAAGGAAATAATTTGACCACAGTATGAGGTTGTGGTTACTGCTAAATGACAGTGGAGTCCCAGGGACACCAGCATGGCAGCAAGTGTTTGTGAAGAACTCCCAGGGATTAAAATCCAAGCAGGAAGCACAGAGAAGGAAGCAAGGAGAAGGTTAGCCAAAGGTTTGCTATAGGTAAAGGCATGGTCCTGCCTTTGCTATAGGTAAAGACATGGTCCTGCCACAGCAGAATCACCCAGTCTGCTCCTTGGACAGGGGTAAAACCAGACTGGGCTTTGGCTCTAAAGCCCACAGGCTTAGAGTAGGTAGCTCTCTGTGCAGCCAGGGCACGCACAGCATCCTGTCTTCCTTGCCTTGGGTTTAGCAGCTTTTCTTTCTTCTGGGTTTACAGGTTCTTTAGCTGAGAATACAATGCAATAAAGGAGAACTCTAGGTTACAGCCCCCATTTTCTTCCTGCCACTGGGACTTCCCAGCAGGGTAAGAAGACTGTTCCCTTTCTCTCTTGAGCAATTTCTTGGGGACACCTAGGCTCCTTATGTTCTGTTACTGGCGCTGTGTTGGTAGAGATTTTGACTCTTTGCACTCTATCTGCCGGCCTAAGAGAAAACCCGATGCTGCCCATTTAGCCTCACCTTTGCAGCTTGATGGCTTCAGCCACACCCTCGATATCCCCAGTCTTACTCAATTTGATCCACTTTCCATGTCACCACTGGCATGTCCTCAATGGGACATGTACATGAGGGTGTCACTCTTTGGCTCTTGTCCTTTGCTGGTTCTTTGCCTATGAAATGGCCTTCAGATTTCTGAGTGTGCAGCTCAGGGACCCACCCCACCTCCTTACACACCACCTACACTTCAGTCTCTGCGACTGAGAATGTCCTTATTTTCCACCCCACCACATCCTCTGTAAAATGCTCTGACCTCTCAGACTGCCCTGTCGCAGAATTATTTATGGGTGTGCCTTAGCTCTTCCAGCAGTGAGTGGCCTCCTGCATTTTATTAATTTTTAATTTCCCCATGGGAGCTAGCATGGGGCTGTGTGTGTGTGTGAGTGTGTATGTGTGTGTGTGTGAACGTCAATGTATATGAGTGTGTGAATGTGAGAGTGTGAGTGTGTGTGTATGGTTGTTATTGATTTTCTAGGCTCAGTCTTTAAAATTTTGAAGAAAATTAATTTGGTTTCATTAGGTTATTCCAGGTAAATAGAAAGGATCTCAGCGTGCTTCGCTACAATCCAGCAAACATTTCAAAAGAGAAATAGTGACATTCATACTCGCTCTTGCCATTTATGATAAAGGCAAGGAATCCTATGAAGCTTAATGATAATTGATTTGAGGAAAGGAATCTATTACAGTGATTACATTACATTAAGCTGAGAACACTTAGTTTTGATTTATTTTGAATTAGACATCTAGAAATACAGATGTACAAAAAATTCATGCTTATTCTGCACTGTGGAGGGGGGATGTCATCCATTATGTCACTGACCTATTATCATTTAGTTTAAAAATATGTCTGGTAGGAAGTCTCTTGTTCTGAAATAGAAAGTGAGAAATGTTCCCACACAAGCAAATTCCTGTAGGCCAATGGGCGGTGGGGCTTGCCTGCCGTGTGGGTGCCCACATCTGCCAGGTGGGCCCCCCATGTGTGAGGCAGGCCCTGAGGATGCAGTGGGACCCAGCTGCCCCCCAGAGGGGCTGGCTGTCGCTGGGCAGGAGAAGCAGTCCCTGCCTATATCAGGGTCCCTGGGAGCTGGCCTTCTCTGAGCATCTGCCCTTTTGCCTTCTTGGCATTGGCTTCTCCTGTCAAGGAATTTCCCCAGTGCCTGCAACCCCCGTTTCTGCACAGTGCGCACAGCTGCTGCTGAGAGGTTACACTGTCCACAGGAAATGTGATAATGAGATTTGAGCTTAATTGAGCTGGCCTTATGGACATGATTTGTCTGTGTTGATCTGCACTCAACTCAAGCTGGTTGCCCCACGTCCATGTCTGCACTCCATGCTATGTTTTCCCTGACTGACCCCCTCCCTGGAGTGGGAGGGGGAGAGTGCCAGCAGATGACGGGGCTTGTGTCCTCCACACCAGGGAGTCTAGGGGGAGGAGAGCATCACCCTCCAGTCCCAACACAAAGCCTCAGAGTGGGACCCTGGTGGGCCATCTGGGCCTGCTCCGCCGTCCCTGGTCCCAGGGCTGGGGAGGGGGTCCAGTCATGGCCATGTGCCCACGTGGCCCTTCCTCAAGGCATGCAGGTGTTCTTACCATCCGGGAACAGAGTAGGTCTGTGGGGCAGAGAAAGACAGCACACATACACCACACCAGCTACATCCTACAAAATATGTTCATGTCTCAGAATCATAATATCAAAACTTTAAATGAACACTTTATAAAATTACTGTTAAGTGAAGGGCACTGGAGGTCACCAAGCAGTGTCTTGTCTCTCCACCTGGACAGGCTGGGCCACCACATGTCCCTCTGCATGTGTTAATGGTGGCTGCTTTTCAGAAATGGGTCAGGCTGGGCCCCTCCGTGGGGACCCCAAGACAGTGTTCTGTACTGTGGAAATGCCAGAATGGGGTGAGGAAGGAAAGGAGGGACTGCACGGCCTTATTTTCTCTGGTGTTCCACAACCTCTCCAGGCACCATGACATCACCATTTCATGCCAGAGGATTACGCGTGTCTGCTCTGCCCAGAGACATCTCTGTGGGGTCTGCTGGGACTCTGACTGCCCCCTGCCACCCCCCCCCCCCACCTGACTCACAGGCCAGCCAGGCCTCGTACGTGAGATGGCACTGAAGTCAATGGAGAAGCCCTGGCTGATTTACTTCTGAGGGTGTGTGTGGGTGTGCTGGTTTTGTGCTGTGTCTAGGTGAGCAAAGATGTGTGTTCGTGTGTCTCAGTGCCAGGCCCTTCTCTACACGTGTTTTTGTGCGTCTGCATTTGTGTCTCTTGTGCTCATGTGCACAGGTAAGAGGTCGCGTGAGCTGGATGGGTGTCTGTGTTTAGGCTGATCGTGGGTATATCCAAGTGGCCAGGGCAACAACGTTCCTTTCCTTACATTTATTTAGTGGTTTTGTCCTTGAGGTGCTCACTTTATGAAGCTGCCAGCTGCCCCCTCTCTCCCAGCCAAGCAGAAGGCAATCTGGCCCAGCTGTCTTGCTGGAATGCTCCAGCTTTTCCTGAGCAAGCTTTATTCCGATTATTTTTAAAGCTTTTGGAAGACCTTGTGAGAGAGGTGCTGGGAGTTCATTGCAGACTATGCTTAATGGCAGAATTCCAGAGGGACGTGGAGAGCTGGGTTTCATTGGCAAACTCTTTTCTCTTCTCCATCTTTAAAGTAAACAAGGCTTCATTTTCTACATTAATGTGTCCTGCGTCCCTTCCGTTTTTAATAATCTTACAAATGTACCCATGGGCTCCCAGCCGATGTGCATGGAGCCCTGTCTGGGGACACATGTGCCCCTGGGCCCCTGTGGGAGAGGGGCTCAGCAGAGCCTTGAGGACCCGGCTCTGTGCAATTCTGTGGGTCCCCACAGAGCCCCAGGCCTCACCCCACAATAGTCAGAATGTGGGGTGGAGGGCACCCCATCAGCTGGAGAAGATTCTGCTATGCTTGTTGGCAGTTCCTTCCTCCAAATTACCACTTGTCATTTCAACACAACCCAGTTTGGTCTAAATATGCATGGCACCCCTGCTTAATTCCAGGTGTTTGTGTGTGTGTGTGTGTGTGTGTGTGTGTGTGTGTGAATGAAGGCCGAGACCCCTGCCTCTCCTTGAGAATGTTGATGTGTTGATATCACTGGCTCAAACCTTAGCTCTTCAGGCTGAGATAGGGGCTCCCTGCATCTGTGGGTCCTGGTGCACCATGGAGCTGCGCCCTGCATTGTGGCAGCTTTCCTGCTCTGCTTCGGTCATGGGCAAGGAAGCCTGCCCTGGCTTCGGCAGGTCCGTGTGTAGCCAGCCCCTGGTGATTC